TTCAACGTGTTCGCTTTTGGTCGAAGATGTAGAATGATCCGATACAGATCTCTGGTCCTTTGATTAGAGATCTAGTCCGTTGGTACATAGAAGCTTTGGTTCTTCGGTTACGAAACAGATCTGGCTCGATGCACAACAGCTTTGCTTCAGCACTACATTGAACTTCAATTATACTTCTGGACCTTCTACAGATCTAATCACTGAATACTCAAAACATGAAACTTCTTTTGGGTATTTGGTTTGTCCCACATAGACCAAATCTCAATTATTTAAGTGTCTTATATTACCAAGGCCATAGCTAATAATAAATGGTCTAACTATCTAGTTGAGTCCAATACATATTAAATATCAAGATGGCCTTGGGGCTCTTTGGGTCTCTTGATATCATTACATAGTTTTGTCTGGTGCCTAGAAATAGAGTGCGGCAGTGGCTCGGCTCTGTCCGACAGTTATTGTCGGTTACACTCGACAGTTAAGACATACAATTAATACCCTCCTTGTCTACGTTTTTTTTGGCAGACATACATAAAATTTCTGGGTTTTTTGATTCTTTCGTTCTAATTAATTTCATATGGAAGACTAATCGATTCTTCTGGTTCAAGTTCATTTCTTGAACGAATTGTTGTATCCTCTAGATAGACGTCCAATTCACCATACACCGAACGAATTTATGTCTAAGCACACTGGCACCGCAGGCCTCAATCTCATACTCATTCTTCGTTGGATTCACATCAAGATAATCGAGTTAGTCACCAATTCTTACTCAGTTCATTGTTGTATTTCATTTGTAATTATATATATATATATATATATATATATGTCGATTATATATATACGAAATTTTGGTTTTCTTTAGATTCAAAATTATTGTATGAACGAAATTCGTTTCCTGAATCTAAGTTATAACAATCTTAGATAGAAATTTCGTTGACGATGGATCAATCTTCCATATTAAAATCGCACGTGGAGAAACCCGAAAAGTTTAAGGGTACTGATTTCAAGAGATGGCAACAGAAAATGCTATTCTACTTGACAACGTTGAAGGTGTCAAACGTGCTTACAGATCAAGCACCGACACCTCCGATTGGAGAAGGAGAAAATGCCCCTACCCAGATTCAAATGGCCGCATTCCAACGATCGATCGATAATTGGAACATTAACAAATATAAATGTCAAAATTATATTCTTAATGGCCTGGACGATAGTTTATATGACATTTATTCATCCTTCAATTCGGCGAGGGAAATCTGGGAGTCATTGGAATCGAAGTACAAGACGGAAGTCCCTTGTTCAAACCGATTTGTTGTGGGTAGATTTCTAAACTTCAAGATGAACGACTCCAAACCAGTCGTGAAGCAAGTAGAAGAACTCCAAGTCTTGGTCCATGAATTGGAAGTCAAAGGTATGGGCATAAACTCCAATTTTCTTGTTGGTTATATAATTGATAAACTTCCTCCATCTTTGAAGAACTTTAAACTCTATCTTAATTATTTGTCCAAGGATATGAGTTTTGAGCAATTGATACTCAAACTTCAGGTGGAGTAGGACAACCGGATGAACGAGAAGGCAGATGCAATCTTATTGGAACCAACTGCAAACATGGTGACCAGTAGCTCATCAAAGCCAAAATTCCAAAGAGGCAAAGGGAAGGCTACGGGTGGTAAACATCATTTCAATGCTTCAAATACGCTATCCACTCAACGAAAGCCTTTCGAGAAAAAAGTTTTGAGTTGTTGGGTATGCAGTAAATCCGGCCATCGAGCAAAGGATTGCCGTCATAGGCGAGACATGGTGGTCCCGGAGGAGGAGGCACCGGTGAAGGTGGTGCCGGAGGAAACGCCCATCGGGCAAATGTTGTCAATTCTCCAAACCAATTTGTTGGAGTAATTGAGGCTTTCTTGGTCACAAATGTGACCGATTGGTAGGTCGATACCGGTGCTACCAAACACATTTGTAACTCCAAGAACCTGTTTGCAACTTATCAAAGCGTCAAGGATTAGGAACCTATGTTCATATTGTCACTCTTATCCCAATATACACCTCTCACTGATATGCCACCTTTATTTCCACACATGATATAAACATATCAAAACTCATAGTTAAGCTAAAAATAGCATCCAAAAACAGTTTTATCATCATCATCCCCACGTAAGAACCATACGGTTCAAATTTCAAATACCAAATAAGAAAAGTTGATAAATTAAACTCACCTTATGTTCACGTAGATGGAGATGAATTAATCACAACAACAAATTCAAGTAGAAATCACAAAATCAACTTCTTCTTCCCCTTACAGACTTGTTTACTTTACACACAAGAGAACACACACAGAAAAGCTCCCTTTTCTTTTTCTCCACCAAAATCAATGAGATAAGATGATTATCTTATCCAATACTTTACTTTAAACCATAAGGGCCGGTGGAAGTTTTTAAAATAATTAATCATACTCGCCCATGAGATAAAGCAAATATCTCATACATAATAACATTTAGGCGATGTGGATTATTTTAAACATTTAAGTACATACACAAGTTAAACCCCTCCACTTTTCATCACCTTTCAAAAATCACCCCGGACTTTTATATCTGAATACCCAGTTATCACAGTTCATATCTGAATCAGTAAAAATATTTAATATGTGAAGTACACTGGTTCACATATGAACATATAGTTCTTATGTGAATCACAAGGGTTCACATATGAACTTGTTTGCCGCTATTTGTAGAAGTTACGAAACTACCTCGTCTATTTTTTGCATAGCGCAAATTTTGACCAGTCAAAGCCGCAATTCTTGACCTGATAGAGAGTTAGGATCACTTCTTTACTTCTCAAATATTTAAGACTTCTCAAAATAACCTATAAGACTTCTCAAAATAACCTATGACTATATATATATATATATATATACATATATATATATTATCTGACAATATCAAAATAAAAGATTCATACATATTATTAGGGCTGTAAACGAACCGAACGAACACGAACGAAGGCTTGTTCATGTTCGTTCGTTTAGCTTAACCGAACAAACGAACAAACACGAACGGTAAACGAACGAAAATATTTGTGTTCGTGTTCGTTCGTTTAGAAATCAGGTGTGTTCGTGTTCGTTTATGTTCGTTCGTTAACATGCTAAACAAACGTAAACGAACGAACATAAACAAACGAGCTAAACGAACATAAACGAACGGGTTAAACGAACATAAATAAATATTATTTGAATTCAAAGTAAATAAATAAAAGATTATATATTAAATTTAATATATAAACGAACATAAACGAATGAATATAAACGAACGGTAAATGAAAGAACGTTCACGAACATAAATGAACGAACGAAGCTCTTGTTCATGTTCGTTCGTTTAACTAAACGAACAAAAAAATTTGTTCATGTTCGTTCATTTATTAAATAACGAACATAAACGAACTTCCCACCGAACGGTTCACGAATGGTTCGCTGAACGTTCAGTTCGTTTACAGCCCTACATATTATCATCTTTGTAACTTAAAATTGAACAATTCCTATATAAATTTCAACCATGTTTTCATACCCAAATAGGAAAAAAAAAACTAAAACAATAAAGTTAAATCATATTTAATATATTTGATTTTTTTTATCTAAACAAATCAAAACATAAAATAATATCTTATTGTATTTATTTTGATATCATCATATATGTATATATATTTGTGCGTATAAAAATATTGTTTTTTCCTTTTTACAGAAAAAAAACAAAAGAATAGACAAAAAAGTTGAAATTCCCCTTGATTTAACGGAGTTAACAAAGACGTTAGTCAAAGAGACCATGATCAAGACAAATTGAATACCACAAAAACCAAATTCAAATAATATACATACCATAAGAACCCCAGTAAAAAAATAAAAACATATAAACCAAATCCACAATTCACTGAAATATTTTATTAATTAAATGTCTATTTTACTTTTATTAATATAGATATAATTTTGTTCATCTTATAATAAAACAAAAAGAGAAAAAAATAACACTTATTTTAAAGCAAACTCTGACATAGATGTCCAAACTTATATTAAGACATAAAAGTTAACAAATTTTAAATTTATTTTTAATCATGTGATGAAAATATCATCTTCGTAATTAAATTATATTTAACTAATGAAAAAGTATAGTAATAGTTTATATATTCTAAACGTGTAAATTTCAACTCTAAATTGTGCTTTCAATTAACTATAAACGTAATCAGTAATGGAGAGAGATACATATCAATTTTAATGTTTTGCTTTATAATATGATTTTGAGAAAACGATAATAATTTTTATGTTCGAATAAAATATAAATTTGAAGACTCATAAACTTTTGTAGCAATATTAGTATTAAATTAATAATTTAAAAGTTCTCGTTTTTTATATCATCTTTTATTTTAATTTCTTAGTATAATTTAATTTATGTTTAATAACAAATAATTTATTTTAGTTCTAATAATAATGTTTTTTGTAAAGATAATTTTTAGTTCAGTTTTTTATTATAATTTATTTTAGATTTAATAAAAATTAATTTATTTTAACTTTAATAATATAATTTTTTATAAATATAATAACTAAGTATTATGTTATAATTTATATTATTTAAATTCAAAATAAGATGTTTATTTTGTATTTAATTATGTTTATCAGTTTGTTATGTGAATTCAATATACAGTTTTAAGAAGTTATAATCATGCACCATTAACTTGTAATATTAAATTTTAAATAATACGTACTATTAACCGTATTTGATACATTAAGATGGTTTTTACGATTTTTATCCAAATATTTTATAAAATAGTATAAATTGGTCCGTTTTATCCGGAGCTGGCTTCTCAAATTCCAGAATAAGCTACAACATCCACAACATAATGTACAACAACAACGAACCTTATTTCTCTGGATTAAATAAACATTGATTTGCTCTTTAAAATGATTCGTCTTTAAAGCACAACCGCCAATGCCAGATTCTAGGGAGATAAAGTAGATTCTTTAATACAGAGAGAAGGTGTTCTTTCTATACATACACATCTATATATCTATATACATACAGAGAAATTGAATAGATTTGGGAAAACAAGGATGAATTTGAAGAAGAGAGAACTTCTAATAATCTTACCATTCGTTTTAATTTTAGGATTGTTTGCTTCGTTCGTAATTTCTGATCACAGTTCTTCGAAAGGTTTAACTTCTCGATTAACTCTATCATCATCATCATCATCATCATCATCATCATCATCATCATCATCATCTTCTTCCTCTTCATTATTAGTGAATAATGAAGCTAATCAACGGATGATTTCGAGGATTAGTGATGTTAAACTGGAGACTAAGATAAGAAGGCCTAGTAATCTAGAGTTGATTGAAGCTGGATTAGCGAAATCTCGAGCTTTGATAAAAAGAGGTGCAGGTGGTAATCAGACGATTGATGATCATGATTATGTGCCTTCTGGTTCCGTTTATTGGAACCCTAATACGTTTCACAGGTACCTTCGTCTTCAAATTTTTATTTCATTCTGTCTTTCTTATTCATTTGTGAAGAATGTTCGTCTCTAGGTTGCTTGATTCGATGGGAATTCCAAAATAATATCTACCATCAAAAAATAACACACCGTTGTAAAATCATGTAATGTAATAGTTACAATTTTTTTCTTTAAACTATAAATTTGGTCCTTGTAGCATGTAGGAAATAACAGCTTTTATTTCTACAGTTTGAAATTATAAGATGGTTATCATGGTTTGCAAAAACGTAATTTAATTTCTTCTCTTAACGGATGTTCACTACTAAACGGAAGACTTTTACCTACAGAAATTAACATTAAAAAATTCTATTAATTAAATAAAAATATTTTTACCTTTTATCCATTTTTTGGCTTTTTACACGATCAAAATCGATTTTATGAAAGCATTTCTAAGGCATTCTCAATCTAATCTCTATGTTAATTTCTAAGAAATAGAAAAGGATTTTTCTAATGCATTATTTAAAGATATTTATGGTTTTTTTTGTACTTATCAATAAAAAAAGTATTTGTGGTAGGGGTTTTGTTTGTTTTATTGCCTCATATATATTAGACCTCAATTATTGATTGTTAAATGTATTATATATATATATATATATATGTATATATATATATATATATATATAGTGTTTGGAGGACACAGAAAAAAACGTCACGTATTTCTATTTGTTTTTATTTAGCATGAATAATATACGTAAACTTATTATAGTATTCAGTATAAATATTATATCGTTCATTATGAATATTGTATAATTTACTATAATATCTTCTCCTGAATGTGTAAGACAAGTGAAGTGTGCTCATATATGTCGTGTTCATAATAAAACTTAAGTTTGCAATTGAAAGCTACTCCTACATATAATAATATGATGCAGATGAGGGTAATTTGGACCTTTTATTCTTGATTTAATAATTTAATGATAAAATTTAATTAAAAAATGATTGTTCATTTGCAAAGTTATAATAAATTGTTTTATTTTTTATTTACAAAGTTGCATGTATAAACCATAAAGGTAGTGCCAGATTGATTTGAGCTTGACTCTAAATGTCAAAAGTACCTGGAAGTCATAGGTTCAAATCCATGAAGAAAAAAAAAATCCTCTTATGGCCACGGAGGCTAAAATGCGGTGATTCAAGACTATTTGAAAAGGAGGTGGTCGTTCTAAGATTAGTCGACTCGCATAACGGGTTGGATATCCAGGTTAATGAAAAAAAAATTGGATGTTTTCTTAATTTATGAAAGACATGCTATATTTTAATGTGATCAAAAAATGTAATATGATTATATGCAATATACAGTTTGAAAGTAAGGTATTCACAATAGAAAACCGAACAAATTTATTCAAATATTCTTAAATTGTTAGATAGTTTTTATAATTAATTATTACTTTTTTTGTCTTATGTTTTGAAATAATTGCAAAATATTTGTAGGAGTTACTTGGAAATGGAGAAAAAATTCAAGATATATGTTTATAAAGAGGGAGATCCCCCGGTTTTTCATGATGCACCTTGTGATGGCATTCTTGGAATAGAAGGAATTTTCATTAACGACATGGAAATTAGTCGATTTCGTACTCTAGACCCTGAAAAAGCTCATGTTTTCTTCCTTCCGATTAGCATTGTGTCAATCGTTCATTTCGTTTACGTGAGGGAAACCCGACTTTGGAGTGATATGAAAAACACTGCCATTGACTATGTCGATGTCATAGCCGAGAAACATCCGTATTGGAACAGAAGCCTTGGGGCAGATCACTTCATGCTTGCTTGCCATGATTGGGTATGTATGTACATCTAAGGGTATCTCAGTTGGTCATCTTGAGTTTGTTCTCCATTAGTCATACATACATACATACATACATACATACATACATACATACATACATACATACATACATACATACATACATACATACATACATACATACATACATATATATATAACACATTTATATGCGACTGATCATATGAAAACCTCAAATATTGTGATCACTATGAGAACCAATGCATCATATGTTATCTCACATAAAATTTTCTCATCAAGGCTAAGATCTAAATTATTAATAACATATATTTATTTCACAATATGAAACATTTTTATGTGTTTGGGTTCACAAAAATATATGTAAAAAAGTTTCACATTGTGAAACAAGTACATGTAAAACAAACACAAAATGAAACAAATATTTGTTAATCAATACTTTAAATTCTAGCATGAAATGAAAAATAACATGTAAAACAACTATCAAAGGAAAAGTTCATAAAAACTCAACAAACTATTCCATTTTGAATGATTAAGTTTCTGAACTATTTTTTTGAATGATAAAACCATTAAACTTTCTCATTTTGAAGCAATTAATTGTTGATAGTATTCAACAATTAATTAACAATGAAGTAATTAATTGTTGATAGTATTCAACTTCTTTTGTAATAGATTTTACATGTTGTAGGGGCCTGAAATCTCGACTGCCATTCCTATCCTATACAAGAACTCGATCCGTGCTCTTTGCAATGCAAATACCTCTGAAGGATTCAACCTTACAAGAGATGTCTCGATCCCAGAAATCTACCTCCCACATGGCACTACCGAGGGATTGCTAGGTGGTCCTTCCCCATCTAAACGAACTATTCTAGTCTTCTTTTCGGGTGGTATCCATGGCTACATTCGCCAAGTACTTCTTGAGCATTGGGAAAACAAGACCGAAGATGGTGTCAAAATACAACAATACCTCCCAAAAGGCGAGAATTATTACGATATGGTAAATATTCCCATGCCAGTATTAGTAATAGCAGCTTTTACTCAATTGAACTTGTTTCGTGGTTGAAACTTTATTTAGAATAACATAATTAAAGATCCTTAGAATAATCTAGTTCGGCCAAAACCGTTAGGATCATGTTTGACGACCATAAGATACCTTATTTTTTTAACTTGTTGAAAAAGTCTGAAAAGGTCTTGTTCCATAAACAATAAGGTAGTTTTTTTCCTTCTGAAAATCTATTTTAGATAACGTTTGCTTTAATGGCATTTTTTAATCTCTTTTTAACTATGCTCCTTATATTTTACATTTTTACGCAAATCAAGAAAAACTTTATGGTTTTTTAAATCATTTTACATTGTCATCTGCCTGATTAGCTAGTGTTTTTTTGGACATAACTAGTTTATTAGCTAACTTATTAGCCAAACTAGGTTTTTCATCTAAAAAATAGCTTATCAACCAACAACTAATCGTCAAACATAGCCTAGGTGAATATTGGGTGTCGATCAACATTAACAAAGTCTTCACTTCTGAAAGAGTTCTTATTATGTACTTGTTATTTTAACCCTGTGTTGTGTCTCTCTTTTCAGGTAAGAAAAAGCAAATACTGCATTTGCGCGAGTGGGTGGGAAGTGGCGAGCCCGAGGATGGTGGAAGCACTATACATGGGTTGCGTACCGGTCCTCATAAAGGATCATTACGCAAAGCCATTTAGTGATGTGTTGGATTGGCGCAAGTTCTCTATTGACATTGCGCTTAATGACATCCCAAATTTGAAAATTATTCTAATGGGGATTTCTCAAAGACAATACATTAGATTTCAAAGAAATGGTGTTAAGGTTCGAAAGCATTTTGTGGTGAATTTACCTCCGAAGAGATATGACGTTTTTCATATGATTCTTCACTCAATATGGCTAAGAAGACTCAATACTCGCATTCATGATCCATGATAAATTATCCAAGTTATTCGATGAAATAGTTGTTATATATTATGTTGTTGATATGTATCAATATGAAATACACAATTTATCATTTGCGATAAATATGTTCACTATTAAATGGAAGACTTTTATCTACAGACTTTTCCCTGAGAAATCCGTTGCTACAGGATGATTTGCCACACAACCGTCACAAAAGTTGGACGGTAACTGTAACATCAGTCTTTAGCAAACCCCAATTTACCAATCTTATAAAATCTCTAATAAAATATAATTTAATGATTATTAGGACCAAATATTGATCCTAATTATTCTAAAAGTTAAGCCGAAGCAATCAGGGTCAAGGATGGAAAATCTCAAAATGCTGTTTAAACGACTAAGTTTGGAAGAAGACTCGAGGCGATGAAAATGGACCAGGGGCGAAGCATCGGTCCAGGGGCGATGCATCGGTCCAGGGGCGATGCATCGGTTCAGGGGCGATGCATTGGTCCAGAGGCGATGAAGGACCAGAGGCCAGGAAGGACCAGAGGCAAAGGATGACCTACACTTAGAAACACACAGATAGGGGCATAACATTAATTAACCTCAAAATATGGGATATTAATTTCTAGAAAAGCCCATCGAGATATCCGTTCTATTTTAGTGATAAAATCACCCAAAACACCATTCCAAACCGGATATAATGGATTTTTACTTACAACCTGAATTAAGTAGCCAAAAGAATACGGGACAAGACTCTATATATATAAGCTAATATTTACCCAAAAGCAAGATCGATATCTTCAAGTTTCCCAGTAAATTTTCAAGTCAAACAACGAAATCTTTCTTTTTGTCCGCCTTCTTTCCTGAGAGAGGTTGCTACTTAAATGATAAGCCAATGCTTAGTGAGTTAAATAGTTAAGTATTACATATCAATATCGCACATGTTTATAAACATACATAATAAACTCTTATCAATAATAGAGTTCAAGACATCATCCAGATGTGAACCGAGACTTACAAGGAACCGAGTGAACAATTACGTACCAGATGCCAAGATCATAAGATTCCATATTCAAATCACCATAATATACCATACCATTGATGCTCAATACAACAAGGAGACAGAATCAACGACCAAATATATTCAACAACGTAAGAATACCGATAAATATCAAGAACCAAGAGATCGAAACAGTATACATAACGAGGACAATACATCACCCCGTCCTTCACCTCCCGAGCTCATGCCAAAGTCCGAGTCAGAATCATACATTACGGAAAACCTCGCACTGCCCGCCTTCCTCTACCGGGTATGTGCCAAGGTTCCCTACTCATTGCTCTTCCTTCTTTCTGAGCAATGAGTATTCACAACTGCAGAAAGTCTCACCCGTCCAACCCGGGATCTTGACTTCGCCATAAACTTTCGGCGTGCCACACGAAGTAGTACCCGTACTATGGCGTACAATTCAAGGAACAAAACAACGAGTCCGGATTCAGAAAGCAAATCGATGTACCGAGATAGTAATAAGGAATCGACTCAAGAGACGGAATCAAAGACAAATC